TAAATGTTCTTCCAACATCTGTTGGTCTGAACTGCCTTTCAAAAGGTGGTCCTCTATAGAATGATGTACCTCGTCCTCTACCAGGCTGAACGTTTGGGAAGAAAACAGGGCGACGAGGATGCTGCCATGTCTCTGGTTTCTCCGTGTTTCCATTTACTTCCCTTTTACATCTTGCACACAGGACGTCTTCGTCCTTTTTTGGTTCTTTTCCTTTGATACGTTCAAAGACGCTGGGATGTGGTTTAGGATCTTCTTCTCCGTCATCTATGACTAACTTGAATTTTGATAACTTGTTCTTGAATCCAGATGTTACCATGTTTACTCCAAGTGGCTGTGGGAAAGGATTCTCGTCCACTGCCATCTTTTTCTTATCATCGAACGTAATTCGTCCTGACTCAATAGCATCCTGCAATACGTGACGAAAAACCAAGCAATTGTTAGTCAAATGTGACCATGCATTATGCCACTTACAATATTTTTTACCCTTTATTTGTTCAGGGTTTGGCAATTTGTGCTTATCGCTCAGCTTTATTTGCTTATCCCTATATAACTTATCGAATATAAGGTCAGCGTTGGTTATATCGAACGAAAACGTTCTAGCCTTTATGTTTCCATCCTTTATGGGCTCATCTTTGCCCGATGGTCTAGGCTTGGCCATTATGAAACAAGTATATGTATCCCCTTTTACTAATTCGGCCAAACACATTTCGGCCTGATCGTACGATTCATCATCCATGGTATGAACGTCAAAATTTGGGTCTCTGTAATAAGTCCCTTTACTAGAATTTTTCATTTGTTCTTCTTCTCTTATTAATCGCTCATACCTAATGACATTCGCACTCAACTGGAAAAGGTCGGAAAATTCCTTGTCTTGGAACTTCTTTTTTAAATCAAATCTCAAGCAGCCTTGTGCGATCTTAACAAATTCTTTTTCGGGCAAAGGTACAAAACACTTGCTTCTTGCTGTTTTGAACCTTTGGAGAAAACTTTCTGCCCATTCATTTGGCATTTGACGTAGATTCGCCAAATCAGCCAAAGTGACTTCAGATTTAGTTTTGTAAAACTGAGCATGAAACAACTGTTCCAGTTGTTGCCATGTTTGAACAGAGTTCGCTGGCAAGTTAATGAACCAGGAGAAAGCTACTCCTGTTAACGAACTGGGGAAAAGTCTCATTTTATGGTAATCGGTTACATCACCACTTTGCAACGTGAATCGCCCTATGTGTTCCAGAGTAGACACCTCTCCTAAACCAGTAAACAGTGAAAATTTTGGCACTTTGTACCCTCTAGGCCATGGATATGCTTGATCTACCCAATCAGGATATGGCTTTGTGTAAGTCGGTATAATGACAGGACGCACCCCAAAGGCCATCTGATCCTGCACGATTTCCATAATCTGATTTCTCAACATGACATTGGGATCATATGGAATTCCTACAGGCTGATTAACCGGTTGATTTGCATGAGGTC